TGAAAATTTCATATGATGACATACAAAAGTTTTCAATGTTAATGCAGTATTGTTAAAATAATGTACACTGAAATTATTTCAGCATAAGTATTGTACTGGATTTTAAACAGGGACGCACAATGATATCGGAATTATATTAGTATCGACTGATAATTGTTAAAAATATATTTATCAGCATTGGACTGATGCTTAGATTTGACCAATAATTCAAAGTGTGATCTGATGATGTATTTATGCTCCAGAACAGAAGAATGTTTAGGTAACACTGGGCTTCGATTCTAACATTTCTGCATTTTATTAATTTTACTGCATTTCTCTGTAATGCCAATCCACGTCATTCCATAACAATTTTCTAAATATTTATGTATCAGTATGAGAATAGTTGTAATATACTGGCATTAGCCTAGAATTGTTGAACAGTTTGGGCTCATCCTTATTTTTTATTAAAGGGGACCTATTACGCTCATTTTCAATGTTAATAATTTTATTTTTGGGGTCTACTAGAACAGATATACATGCTTTAGTGTTCCAAAAAACATACATTTTTTCTCATTCTGTACATCTCTATTCCCCTTTAAACCTTCTGTATTTCTTTAAAACATCAACAATCAACTATAATACCAATAAACATGAAATTATTCCCAGGACTACTGTTTACTGTTTAGATTTAAACTATGTAAATATGCGTTGCCTTGGTGCGTGCTTTGCAGGGAGTTATATTTACTCCCACTGTGGCTTATTAAAGGGCCCAAACCATGGAAAAACAAATTGTCTTTTTTATTTTAATAAAAGACATTTATTTTCATACAGTCCATATTATTATAACCGTCCTGTGTTGTGTGACTGCTACTGGCTCCTAAATTTCCTTCGCGATCAATAAAGTATCTATCTACCTATCTACCTATCTATCTATCTATATACAGAAACTAAGCTGCAAAAACAACCCATTTTGAATTCATTGTTTTGGTGAGGTCATACAATTCAGCCAACGTGAGTTCAACCCTGCACATTCACACTAATGTTATAAGCTGAGTCTGGACTGCTTTTTGAATGAGACACAATACAGGGCAGTGTGTTCATATCACAGTTATCATTCCATCCCTACCACAGACATTGCCATAAAGCAGCTTTACAGAAAATCAGGTCCAGACCTCTATGCCTCAGATGCAAGCAAAACTGCTTAAGTGCATTGGGAAAAATCAACGAGCAGAACTGACTCAAAAAAGAAAGCCATCATACTCTGAGTAGAACTTTATAAGGAAGATTAAACAGATGCACCTGGATCACATGTCAGAAAAATCTACAGGGGAAGCCAGTGAGCAGTGATGATGCAGTATGAAAGCAACTTACAGTCAGTGTAACTGATATTCAGGGTAACTAGCATTCAGTAATTTAATATCCATTACATACCTGCAGCTGGTTAAGCAGCTGGTGAATCAGCTGGCACAGTTTGATGACAAGGTGCTCTTGGCTGTGTGGAACCAGTCGGCTGGCGTGCACAAGCAGCATACACACATCCTAAAAGACAAAAAGGATGGCAAATCTTGTTCAGTCAGTTGACTGAAATGGCTCCCTATTGGAAATGCATGATTTCGATGCAGACACCCTTGTTTCATGACCATCATAGAGCACCAGCAAGGAGTAAGAGACATTTGAGACCCAGTCTTAGTCTCAAAACTTCAGATTGCCAATAAATGCTAAATGTTGTGTGCTGCCAACTGAAAGCTGACGACTGTTAAAGACAAGACAAAGCTTGAAGCTGCGTCCACTTACTGCCAAACAAAATAAAGCAGTTTAAAGACACTGACATTTATACAAACATGCTGCAGAAACCTTCAACATCCAGATATGGCTTCATTTGTGTGGGTGATAGTAGCAGCTACACTATATGCCCAAATGTTTGTAGACACCTGCTCATCCAGCATATCTTCTGAAATCAAAGGTTTTAATAGGGTGTTTGTCCCTCTGCAGTAACAGCCTCTACTCTTCTGGGAAGGCTTTACACTAGATGTTGGAACACTGCTGTGAGGATTTGATGGCATTCAGCCACAAGAGCATTAGTGGTCAGGTACTGATGTTGAATGATTAGGGGAGCAATATGATGACACTAGTGTTATAGTGATAATATCACAATATGTTTTTCTGAGCACACTGTGGGTATTGTCAGTACTTACACAACAACTGCATGTTTTGTTAAAAAAGAGAGCATAATAAGTCCTGTTTAATTGGATTTAGTGCAGTGCTGTATGTGATACGTTTAATAAAAATCATTGTACTCAAAAAAACAGAAAGAAAATTGTGCCATGCTGCCCATCCCTACTTCACCTCACTCTAACACAATTTCCTCAGCCCAGTACTCGGGGTGGACAATCAGCAAAAATATAGCATGACGATACTTCAAGACAATTTTTCGACACGTGATATTTATCCTGATATTTTATTTTTCTCAGGTTTGATTAGTTTAAACAAAAGAAAGAAAACGAATGGCTTAGGAAAAAAACAAAGTGACAAACATTTGTCATCATGATAACAACACATATTGTCATTTTGTTTACTATTACTTAATACCCTTTGAGGCCTGGCACTTAACATGGTGACTTTAGACTTGTGCTGCCGTTCCCATTCTACTGCCAATGTTTTTCAAAGGAGATTATACAGGCTGTCTGAACACAATGGGTGTGCTTTAAATTAGCTGAATTCACTAGTTGATGACGAGGGATGAATGGATACTTTTGTACAAATATGAATTGAAAAAGCTGTAGTAACTTACATGAAGTTACCTGTGCTGGTATGTGGTGGTTCAGCTGGCTGCTGTAGTTCTGAGAGAGGTTGTTAAAAAGCTGTGGTGAGTGAAGTTACCTGTGCTGGTATGTGGTGGTTGTTGAGCTGGCTGCTGTAGTTGTGAGAGAGCAGCTCGTCCAGCAGCAGGTTCAGCTCTGTTTTCACTGCCGCTCCTCCAGACCCGCTCAGTCCTCTCAGTTTAGCGCTGCAGCGGCGGAACGGCTCATCTCCGCCCTGCAGAGAAGCGAGCTCAGCCCCCGAACCGAACCGCTGAGTGTCAGAGTGAAGCGGAGGCCGATCTCCACCAGAAACCGAACACCAGCCCGAGTCCAGTGAACTGACTCTACCGGCCATCTTAGAGAAGGTCAAAATAGCGGCTTTGCTATGGCAACCACCATCCACATCCGATGGCAAGCGGAAAATGGACGTATTCAGTTTAAAAGTCTTAGTTAGTGTGTGTGATGTGGCTTTATGTCCTAACACATTTTAACATTCAAACATTCAAGCTAAGGTAAGAATATTCTGATGCTTAAAATGTAGTTTTCTTAAGATTTTCTAAACAAAAGAATTGGACAGCAAAAATGCCTTTAGTTGCATATATATAGGCATTGTAAGGGCTTTGAGAAGATCTGTGAAACAATTCCCTCAGCTTTCCTCAGTCTCATCCAAAGATATCTTCAGAATTCCTTATTTAAGCCCAAGTTTAATTGCCCACTGTGAAAGACTCTTATGTTGACTTGTTTGATGCAATGTAGTAACAGACTGATTGGTAAAGAGTTTAGATGTCTTCTTTTTTGATGACTTTCACTCTCAGTTGTTGCCAGTTACACAATACAAAATGATGTTTAACATCTTTCTGGTTAGTGAGCTTTTTTATAGATATTTAAATTAGAGACAGAGCCTTGTGCTTTTTGTATTTCTGCTGTAGAGACAGCTGTACACTTGTGTTTGAAAATGTTGTTATACCAGTCGATTATGGAGAGATGTACAGAGTTGGGTGATAAGCGTTTCTCCTTTTGAAAGTCTTGATAATATTTTTTGTAAGCATAATTTGGAGCCGCACATATTTGTTTTAATAAATGTCATTATTCCTTTGGGTAAATATCATATTCATATTTCTAAATGGAAAAAATGTAGGCCCTCTTTTAACTCCTTCAAAGTTTAACATTTATAAAGAAACCCTTGTGACCTTTCTTTGTAGTTGTATTGGCAGTTCTTTCATCCGTTTTTTTGTAATGTATGTTTTATTGCACTTTTTTTGCACTGTAATTTTTGTTGACTGCATTAAAGCAAAAGTACTCAGAGAAACAGATGAACTACTGTCTCTAATTGTACAACTACAAAGTGCACCTACAGGTAAGTGAAACAAGGTTTGTATATACACACACACACACACACACACACACACATATATATATATATATATATATATATATATGTGTGTGTGTGTGTGTGTGTATACATACATACACAGACACACACAAACACTAAGCTGCTTATCCAATTGGCCTGACTGCATGTCTTTGCACTGTGGGAGGAAACCAGAATACTCGGAGAAAACTCACACAGACATGGGGAGAACATGCAAATCCACAGAAAGGACCCTGGTTGCCCGGCCAGGGAATCTAACCCAGAACTCACTGCGCCATAATCAATCAATAATCAGTTACAGATTTTTAAATCGCGATCAGTGAAAACTTACCAAGTTAAATGTCTACAGCAGTGTTTCCCTGATCGTTGAGGCGCACTGCCTTGCACATTTTAGTGCTTTACAGAACAGTGGTCCTTTAGAACCAGAGTTGGGAAGCACTGCTTTACAGCAGTGTCAAACGTACTAATCATGTTTCATGGTTCCACAATGAATCAAAAAGCACCTAATTTAGCAAAAGTAACTCAATAAAAGTGGAAGCTTTTCAAGCTGGGCAATTCGTTGACCACATTTTCTCCTCTCAGTCTTTTATTTGAACTGTTTTGGACCTTTGCACTGATCTACTGGTTTTTAAATCTGTTGAGCAAACAAACTCCAAAATATTGCAAAATCATCAAAAGAAAGTGGCCTCAATCCCATCTCTATTCTTAATTTATATGAAATTACACATTCCTCCTTAGGGATAATAAAATGGCTAACAACATTTCTAGGATTAGTACATCAGCCATTAGAACATCAGGTGGCATGCAAACAACAAGCTTAGTCATAAAGAAAGAAAGAAAGAGACACATAACATATGATGTATTTATTCTTTATTCTTTAATATTACTTAAAGGCAGCAGTCGAAGCATTTTGTACAACTTCAGTGCAAAAAAATTGACTTTGGAAAAAACAAAACAAAAAAAAAAAAAAAAAAAAAAGAAAAAATCAAAGTTGCTTTAACACGAGCAACTACAGAAAAGCAATAGTTGTATTGCAACATATACAAATTAAATATTGTACACGGTCCATGCACTAATGCACAGCCTCTATAGCTATTTCTTCATGACGAGTAAGTGTGTGCGTATGTCTATGCGTGTAGGTCTATGTGTATGTGTGCGTGTCTGTGTGTGTAGTGATGTGGCCTCAGTCATCAGTGCATCACAGTCCAGGTTTAGAGCCTAAGCTCAGAATTTGAGAGATGAAACGTCGAGGCTGGCCCTCAGCCTGACTTGAAGAGCAGAATGGCCACTTGACCAAGGTAGAAGTAGATGAAATGCTTCGTTTCATGCGTCACGTAGCTGCCGAAGTTTCGCCCAACAATACAATGCCACGTGGGGTTGTACTTCTTGTCAAATTCCTGTTGACAGGGTGGACAAAAAAAAAGACAATTAAAAAAAAAGCTTATAAATACCCTCAACAACAGCTGCTTGAACAGATGCACTATGTTATCCGTTTTTTAAAGCCTTAGAAGGGCCCATATTCTACATTTTTCTTGCGTTTAGTTTCGTTCCCTGTAGTCCACTGACTGTCCAGTAATATGCCTTCATTCAAAAAACACACTTCAGGTAAAAGATGAAAGTAGAAAATGAATAGTACATTTTGAAATTTGAGAAATGTTTGCATACACCAAACTCTTCTGTCCACTTAGCATTAATCAAATTACCTTTTTGATGTATGCAGCAATGTCTTTCTCAATGTTATACTTCTCCATGGCCTGCGTGGCACAATCCACAGCATCTTGCTGCATGTCCTCAGACATGTCAGCGTTCTTTATCACGGCCTTCCTGTCAGTCATGATGTCTAAAACAAACACAAAAAGGTACAAAGTTAGAATTACAAAAGCAATGACAGCGGCTCCAGATAGTAGATGTAATCAAATGAATAGAATGGAGGCCAATGCAAGAATGTCATCAGAACGCAAAACGGCACCGACAGCATTCAGAGAATGCTTTGTTTCACCGTCACAGAATACATGGAAAGCAGGTTCACAGAGGTCTGTTTTCTCTAAGAGAAGTTTTCACCAGTACACTGTGTTAATAAAAGGTGCCACAAAGGTTTGGTTCAGCAAAGCCACAAAAGAACCACTTTTGGTTTAAACAACCTTCAGAAAACAAAAAGGTTCTACACCAATTTAAGGGTTCTTTAAAATATGTGGTGGATCTTTTAAACATTAAAAAGGTTCTTCACACAGACAATGGACAGTTTTTATATTTGAAATTTTGATTCTAAAAATATAATAGTTGATGGTTTTTTTGATAAATATTAAGAAACTGTATAATAGCAGGTATGAGATCTGAGCTCTTATGCTTTTGCAGTGTTCAGATTCATCCGTAGCCGATTCTCAACCCATTAGATGTGTTTTCCCATCAAGTCACACCTCTAATCTTTAAAAGCTACAGCTGAACATGCTCGCTCTATTGTGTATGAAGCCAGCACATCCTTTCCCCTGGCTGGTGCGTCGCTTGGTGACAGGGTAAAGCGGGACCCCACTGTCTTTTCCTCCAAATGAATACTGCAACTGACTGCACTCTCAGGGGTCCCTACTGACAGGCGCTACATGACACAGCTGTGACTCAAACACTAATCCCAGCTCTACGGCTGACCTCTGCCGTGCCCTGGGGTGGCAAACAAAAGACGTTTCTTATAAAAATGTCACGCTAGCACATAACATAAGCTGTCAAGAGCTCAGCGCATCTATCTGTGACTTAACTGTTTGAAAATAGTCTTGCGCTGAATTAATGAACACCTAACGTTAATATAAAAAATATCTGAAAGAAGAAAATCTGGGCTGAAGAAACAGTACGAACATAGCTGAAACTCTATGACTGCCAAGAGGAGCAAAACCTTATCTACCCTTAAGCTGCACGATACAGATCTGCCTTAATTTTTAAGTTTCAAATAAAACAAGCGAGGCAAGTGAATCCAGTCCTAAAGTAACTTTCAAGGAAAAAGGCATAAACATAATGGCCAACCACTGCCAAACACCGCACACATTTGACGTGTTTTGGAAATTGGCTGCTATTACGCTGTTGAGTGCAAATTCTGCATTTGCCAAGTTTCTCAAGCCATTTCACTCCATTAGTGACAAACGTAGCTAATTATTCCACCAACAAGTGAAACCCAATGTTATCTGACAACATGCCAGCCCTCCTTAAATAATGCTTCATTATGATTTTGCTTCTTTACTTAACAGATATCTCTGAACAGCACATGGAACATCATGCTTTTACCATTTCGAGACCACCTGCAGGTCATCTCTGTCAATAACACAAGTAAAGGGACTAATCGCATTTATATTGCTGTACAGAAAGTTATTACATGAATTGAGTTGCTTAATACCCGAGACACTGTTTTATGATAGCCTTCTCAAAACGTTGACCTAAAACCTAATTAAAAAAAAAAAGTAACACTGTGAGGCAAAGGCAAAGTAGTCCCCAAAGAAAAATGAAGTTTTCAGATTTACCACCATCAACACTACATCTAAAAACTCAGAAGACACTGGAATGCTTACTGGTCATTCTGGATTTTAAATAATCTTTTTTTTGCATTGTAGTCACTGCAACCCCTGGATCCTATCATTACCGCTGTAGATAAATCTGAGTTGGTAAGTTTCTTTACGATGCACCATTTCACATCTAACCACTCTTTGTTTACATCTCAATGATTTAAATGATATAAAAATGTAGAAAAATGATTGAATCCCCTTTTAATAAACAAAAATTGACTAATAAAAGCACAAATGTAGTTTGTATTTCAGTTTGACAAAAGCTGCACAGACGTGGCACCTTTCCTAATGACAGTGTCCAACACGGTTCAGTTCCCCTTTAACCTTCTCCAAAGAGAGTCTGAACAAAATGAACCATTTTAAGCAAGTCCATTACTGAAATAGTTGAATTTCTGCCTAAGAGCACAGAGTTGGAATTTCACCCACAGCCATCGTATAAATCCAAACACAAATCTGCCACAGGAAATTCTTTTGACAAATAAAAAGAGGACGAGGCCTGACCACTACCTGCCAGTCGTCTACCTTCCCAGCCATCCATTTAAGGAACTAGTGCAGCAACCAAAAAAGAAAGGAACAGTCATGATTTGACAGAAAGGAGGCCACCTCAATCAGCTCTCTCAGGCTCTCCTGTGTTCAGCCCAGGAGAGGGAAAGCATGAAACTCAGTGAAGTAAAATGGTCTGTCTGACAACGTGGGAAATAACGTGTCAGATTCACTGGCCAATTAAAAAGTAATTTCCATATACCATATAGTCTATACATGGCCCAGAATATATGCTTTCAGAAACGTCTAATGTATCTGAGTGGGCAGTGTTGAGTTTCTCTGTACAGCACAATGTCATTTTGTGCTTGGCGTCTTCTGAACGTCAGATTAACACGTCCTCAGGCATGGTCAGGCAGAAACCCTTACATGCACGAATTCCGTGGCAGTTAGAGGAATATGTCCTTAAACATTTGGGCAGTTTTCCTTGAATCAAAAGTTGCCTTCTGCTTCAGGCAAAGGCACAAGTGTGGCCTGAGGTGACTGCTGCAGGCTCATGAGGACAGGCCCACAGTTAACCTACCATTTACAACTAACTGAACCATATGCAAAATTAATAGCACGTTTTGGCAGCAGTCAGAAAAGAGCTGAACGTATTTGAGGATAACAGCAGCAAAAGGTGATAAACACCACACCGTGATGTGCTATGCAGCTGTTCACAGTGGCTTCACATCAACAGAATTACATAATAGCATTAGCTACTTCAGCCAGCAGCGCTTCGCCTCTCAACTTTGGACGAGGCTAAAGTTGGCTTAGTATTCGTCAGCTTCTTTTCCAATTTTCTCGTTCCACCTTAAATGGTGCAGCAGTTACACTCTGGCGCCTGAGGCGTCAGAACGTACCTGCTGCACCATTTAAGGTGGAACGGGAACATTTGAATAAGAAGCTGACTTCAGCTTCATCAACTTTGAGCAGGTTGCTCCAAGGCACTGAGCTGTTCTTCAACAAAACGTTTTGAGCAGTAGAGTCTACAATATCCTGACAAAAAACCCACGTACAACCAAACCCGAGGACTGACAGACAACACAGCCAACTGTTCAGTGCAGAAGAAAACACCGGCAGGGACGCTGACATAAGCTGCCATGTCGTGGCGTATTTGCATGTCATGCTTTCCTCGTCTCGAGCACTTCTTAAATGAACTTGTCTCAGATACTCAAACACAACATATCCACTTAAGATACATGCATTTAACAGACGCGTTTAGCCTGCTTACCTCTTGTAGTGGTTCTTCACCAGGGAACTGTTTGGTTCAGGCTTGTCTCGGACCGACGTGCTCCACGTTTGACCTGCTGACGACCGCTCAACTCGCCACAATGTCCATGCGGTGGCTGCGCCTCTAACTCATATTCACCCACCGAGTCAGGAGCAGACATCAGCCCCGCCCACCATACTGCACCCGCGCTCTGATTGGTCGAGCCGGCGCCTCTCCCCGCATGTTACGAGCGTTTTCCACTAGCCTCCCACTGCCTGCGTTTTATTTCATCCCACAATGCATTAGGGGCGAGATGAGGAGCGGAGGTGCCTTTTCATCCATCCCTCCTTCAGCCTGGGTGGGAATGAGGAGGTTTGGCCTCTTCTCTCATACTGACACCCCATAATATACTGTACTGATTGATTAAACAGCCATTTAAGCGCAGAAAATGTCAGTGTTCCTCAGACGAAGCTGAGTTACTGTAAACTTAAAGGAAGGGTCACTTAAACTGAAATGTACACTCCTTCCCATCCTAAGTTTGCTTCTTCAGATTTGCACTGGATCTACAAAGCTAACATCACAGAATTCTGACATCCTAAAAGATTCTGGAGGACCCAATAGTGCAAAGCTAAAGAAGCAAACTAGGTACAGTAAGCCTGCAAGACAAAACGGCATAGACCAGCATAGCTGGTCACCAGCAAACCAGCATATGTTGTGTTACGAATGCTGGTTAGCAGTAATGCAAGTCGATACAGTGAAGACCAGCAAAACCAGCACATGTGGTGTTATGGATGCTGGTCAGCAGTAATGGAAGTTGATATGCTGATGACCAGCAAAACCAGCATATGTTGTGTTTTAGATACTGGTATGCCGGTCAACCAGCATGGCAATCCTGGGGTGTCCAGCTAAACCAGAACCAGACCAGACCAGTACTGGCCCTTTTGAGCAGGGAGAGGTCTTGCACTTTACTATGTTTTAAAGTAAGAAGAACATTGCATGAATTTAATCTCAGTGAACCATTCCTTTAATGTTTGTTCATTTATTTTTTAACTCCAGAGGGCTGTACACTCCAGAGAGAGTAAACACAACACTTCAGCTCTGCACACCAAATATCTAGTGGCCTATTATTAGAAAAAAAAAAACACACTAATGGTGATTCATTGTTATTAAATCTGCTTTTCTGTGACTGTGAGATGCCCTCTAATTGGAAAAGCAGAACACTGGACCTCATTCACTAATACATGCCTTTCAACGGTGAGCATCAGTCTTCACTGAGTGCGGCCTACTGCTAGAAGAAGCTGACTTTACCCGCACCCCTCTTTACTGTACTCATCTATCATTCATGAGAAAAGGGATCGTTTTACGTGTGGTTCTGCAACAATATTTGATACCTTTATTCCATCTTTTGCCAGATGGTGCCTAACAGACATTTGCTCAGTGATGCACAGTAATGAAAAGCCACATAACGTGAGTGAACAGAAGCTATCCTATTCTTTTAAAGTGACCTTTTAACATGTCATCATACTAAGTTAACCCTAAACTTTAACAAATAAATTTATAAACCTGCTCTGGTGGATATACATAAATTGCATTCGTTTTTTGTGACATAACAAAAACAAATAACAATGGGCTGTTTGTGCAGCTCAGTTTACACTGCATGGACCGGGGAGTGAACTGCACATTCTTGAACTTGAACAATGTTAATATCCTGAATGAACAAGCAGAGATTGGGGGGATGGTGTATTTACCAAAGGAGTGTTTCTCAGTTAGCCAGATGATTTAAGCCCAAAGCTGAGAACTGCCCAACAGGAATGACCCTCCACTCTTTTCCCATTGGCTAACCTTCACTTTGGTCTTAATTTATCTGGCTAAACTGAAATCTTGCTTTGTGAAACACCCCCTTGGTTTTCCAATATATGGGCCCTTTTAAAGAATCCTAGAACCAAGAGAGATCCACTGGATCAGGGGTGCCCATTGCTGGTCTTGAGATCCATTACACCTGTCTCTAATACTAAGATACCCCCAAAAGCCCTATTATCTGGTTCAGGTATGTTGGATTAGGCCTTGTGCTTAACTGTAGGGTGTGGTAGATCTCCAAGACCTGGATTAGGCTGTCCTGCACTGGAACATGTATCTCAGTGAAAACAGTAAAGACAAAACATAGTAAAAAGAAAACTCCACACAGCTGCTGGACTTTCTAACTTTATTCAAAGGTAGAGGGGAAAAACACAAACTAGGAATCAGAAATAGCCCATTCAGAATATAACCCACCAAATCTCAACACAGCAAATGCCTAAAAATGCAGAAGCACTTTGTATATTTGAATCCCTAAATAAACTACAAAATCCCCCTCAAAATGAGCCTCCCAGCCCACCCCCCAAAACCCTAAATCCCCCCCTATTTACCAAGCTCCTCATGTGGATTCCATCCAAAGCAACTGATCCGGCCTCCTGGTTCCTGGCTTTGCTCCACTTTACCGAAATCTCATCTCATAAAACAAAAACAACTGCAGGATCCCTTCAGTGTGCACATCTTTGGTTTGGCTCCACAAAAAAGGCAAAAAATTTTTTTTTAATTTGGTTCTACGAAAGCCAATTGAAAAGCCAAGTTTTCCGCTTTTTGTTAACTCCATTAACTGCGGTTTGGCGAGAGGTTGTGGGGCTGGGGTTGGGATCCTCTCCTATGGTTCCCGCTCCCGGTAAATTGATCCCGCTCCTTGTATGTATCCATCCTTATCCTAATCCTAATCCTGCTCCTGATCCTGAACTGATCCAATGATCCGGCTCCAAGGATCGGGAAACAGTGAGCCCCTCCTCCAATCCAAACCTTAGAATACCAGCAAAATCAAAAAGAGGGAGGCAACAAGTTAGAATCACAGCTAAATCAAATGCTTCTGAGTGCATCTATTAAGTGACGATTATAGGAGCGGTATTGTTTTCTTTCTTTTTTTTTTTCTTTTTCTAAAGTGTAAGTGATATAATGGGTACCAGACTGATATGCTCCAACAAAATCTTAAGCACCACACAAACATCACATTGTGCCAGTATAACCGACAAACAAAAAAAAAGCAATCATTCTCTTAGTGGATTAGCATTTACATCGGTACAATTGATCAAGGCAAACCTTCTTCCATCAGCATCTATTGAGATGTTTCTGCCTGGTTGCTCTACAGTGGCACAGTCCCAGTCCAGTTCAGATGACAAGCAAAAAATGTTTTGTATTTTGGATAAGCAAAAATAATAGTAGTAATAAAAAACTAAAACAAAAATGTTGTCCTGATGTATGCACGAGCATGGCAACATTCAGACAAAGAACGCATGCATGCTTGGCAGCAACAACCAGAAAGAAAAGGTCAAAATAAAAGGGAAGGGGTACTGTAAAGGGAGGGGAAATGGCAAAGCAATAACTGAAGTGTTACTTTACTAAGAAAATTCAGATTACTGAAAGTCTGAGGGGAGAAAAAAAGAAAAACAAATCCTGACATTTTTTGAAGGAGACTAAAGCCGCTTGTTGTCATACCATTGCCAAAATTGAAATGCCTGCTCCTCCTCCTCCAAAAACGCTTTATCCTAATATGAATGAACTGTTCTTGACAATCCTTTATTCCAAAGCATTCTTTAATCCTGCTCCTCTGTTGTCTATAGAAAGACACATGAAAAGGTAAAAATAGAACAATTTTGCAACAAAAATCCTAACCAACAAAATAAAAACCCATCTTTCCCACCCCAAAAGCCCACTGCTAACAAACATACAGTGGCAAATTCCTCAAACATTACTCTTAAGCATTTGAACATCTCCCTTGTCTAACATATGTACAGATGATGGGTATGAAAATCCAGTTAAAATGTAGATGCAGAACAAAAAACACAAAAGGAAAAGATAGGATAAGAGACAGGACAGAACACTAGAAAGAGGTTTTAGGAGGAAGGAAGAGGAAGACAAGGGAACATCCACTTAGCTACACTTTGCTGTTGTTAGCTAAATGATAAAAAAAAGAAAAAAAAAATCGGTGCGGCTGCAAACCAAAGATAAACTGGGGCCATGGGAAGACAAAACAAGTCAAGAAGGCGATGAAGTACAACAGTAGGTCCAGCAGAGGGCGACACAGGGTGTATGGTTGTGGCTGGAGAACTAGCTGTAATGTGGGTGCTTAGGTGCGGGATCGAGAACGGCTGTGACGGGGCGAGTAACGTGGGGATCCTCTGCTGCGGCGTGGTGAATAGCTGCGGCTGCGACTGTTGCTCCGGCTGCGACTCCTGCTGCGGCTGCGAGAGCGTGAGCGCCCGTAACTTGGGCTGCGGGGACCATCCACCCTTACACGGATGTAAGCTGTCTCACCCTGGGGAACACATAACAGACCACTTTCTATCAAGGAAGGAGAGAAGGCGTCCTAATTCAGGAGACACTTACCGCCTGCTGACCTGAAACAAAAGTTATTTTAATCTCTGTGAAGCTTCCCCCCAAAACTAAGGCAAATGAATAGTAACACGGGAAAACTAGGAAATGTAATAATAATGGCTTTGGTAACACCACAGGATTGGAACAGAACTGGCAGTAGCTGGCACAATTCTGTTTGGCAAATGCACAACCCAATGGCAAAATCACTTACATTGAAGTGAGCATCCTAAGCCATTCCTTGGATCCTGCTAGTCCATGTGGCTCCACCATGGGTTCCTGACATCACTCTTACCTTGATATTTCCCAATCCTTAAGCTATGCCCTGTCCTGTCCTGTCCTTCCCAATGGCGGTTCCTATTTAGAAACTCAAACCTACCTCATGTGACCGGAACTTAGTGTTATCCAGCTTTCGCACAGCGTAGGTCATGTCTTCTTTGCGCACAAACTCCACAACACCGGTGCCATCTCGGAAAACATCAGCGTAACATACATCACCTGCTTCACGCATGTGATCCTTCAGGTCCTGCCAGCTTCCGCTAGGAGGGAGTCCTGTGAGAAAACAACCTTATTAACACGAAGTGCCTAAACATCATCTGCAAGCTTTGTTAACCAACACATGTATCTAGATGTTACACAGATCAAAGCCTGTTTCACATATACTACCTCTGCGTGGCAACACTGAGCATCTTACTATTCCTTTCAATATTTCATGTCTAATGAAATATAGTTAAACCTTCAGTGTTGCATGCAGATTTCCCAGTTGGTCTACCAGACTTGAAATGATTCCCTATTCCCAAGTCAGAATGCTGCCCAGG